ACATTTATAACAACCATTATATGATTATATGAGTATAATGTTTGTAATTATCATATAATTGTCATCACACCAAGTGGCAGCTTCGAGTAGTGACCCCACCCCGGGGACTTTATTAGGGCAAACACACAGGAACAGAGGCGCATGAGGACTGCAAGACGGGGGTCACTTAAATACAAACTAATGAAGGGGCATTCTGTTGTGTGTGTGTGTGTGTGTGTGTGTGTGTGTGCGCTCGCACTCTTATTTAAGGGTTGTGTTTAGACCAAACTGTTAATTAATGAAGTTTCATGTGGTGAATCTAGAAGCGGTCTCTACTTAGCATCATTATCTTTAATATGCATGTTATTAGAACACTTGACCCGATTTATCTGGTTTAAAACCAGTATAAATCAGCATTAAACCTAATTAAAAGAAATCAGTTTCTCAGTTTATCATGCATACGAGCAACCCCCCTTTTCCCTTGGCTGTTCAACACCCCCCCTTGCCACTCACACCAATATGCTGAATACACGAAATACTGCTCACCCCTTAGCTATCTGCACTTGTTTGATGTCGTTGTTGTATCTCCTTAACGTAATATTGCGCACCTGGTTCCGTGCATCTGGGTAACCCTCCATATGGTAAACTGTGTCGCATCTTAATTATCTTTGAGACCTTCGTATTTGCAATTTCCTGTTGAGTTCATTTCCTTGTGGCTGTAACGGTGCCGATGCATTATTTAGGAATTGCGGAATCATGGAATTTTGATTATAGTGATGTTTAGTTTTGTGTCTATACGTTGTTGCCATCTAGTGGTAGCGATTATTAAATTTCAGTTTTTTGCTCATTGCCTTCTTGGAAGTTATGTTCTTACTTTGACGAAATCTGTGACTCGGAGTACAACAGTGATGCTTTAAAATACATAGTTAGGGGCATAAGAACATAAATGTACAAACGAGAGGATTAAGCTCGTTTGGGGAGAACTTAACTAATAGCTCAAAGTTGTTAATTTTATCTAGCTCTGATTTAAAGGAACCCAGGGTTTTAGCTTGCGCTACACTAACAGGAAGACTATTCCATACTCTAACTACACGCTGTGTAAAGAAGTGTTTTCTCAAATTCATTTTAAAATGTTCTGATGCTAATTTCCACCTTTGGCCACGAGTTCTAGTATTTCAACTAACATTGAAATAGCCATTTGGCTGAACAGCATCCAGACCTGTTAGAATCTTATATACCTGGATCATGTCCCCCCTTAGTCTCCTAATCTTGTGTAGTTCCATAGCTCATTTTAGACATATTTTTATCATGGTAGATCTATTTGTGGGAAAAAAAGGGAAAAAATTATGAGAATTTGCAGGTAGGCTTGGGTGATGTCTAATTTTTCTTACCAACTTACCATTCAGACATTCTACCACGGTATACAGTATTTTAACTGTATTTTCAAAAGCAAGGAGAGTTGATGTATGCATTTAATTCTGCAGTGAGTTGGGCAGCTGTGGTTTTATGCTTTTTGGATACAGTTCAGGTTTGTGCCCAGGCATCCATTTCAGACAGCTTCCTCTCGCATTTTCAGTTACTCCTGATGGATGTGGTCCTCAGTTACTCCTGATGGATGTGGTCCATTCTTCATGGTAGTAAGCTGACATCACCCTGGATACCGTGCCTCTCGATACACCACAAAAGACTTGCTGTCCTGGTCACAGATGTGCCAGTGAGATGAGCCAGTGAGATGAGCACCAACAATCTGTCCTCCTTTGAACTCTCATGTGTCTCCCATTATGTTGTGTGGACTGCAGTACTGTATGTACAGCTGTGCTATTGCTCAGTTAATTCAACCTTCACACTCCGCTCTTACAGATGGAATGTGCAATCACTGACCACTGGCCGTCAGGCCACGGATATGTAGGTGTGACAATTAAAGCACACTTAGCCAGTGTTGCAGTTTCATTGTCCAACTGCAGTAACTGGCCCCTGATGGCCACCACAAAATTTCCTGCAGACGCCAGTGTACAAAGTGAACTAGTGCGAATCACTTCTGTGCAGCTCTCTGGCAGTTTTAGAGTGAAATCAGAAAAATACCTTGAATCTTAAATTAACGGCTAGAGTTTGCTTAGCTGTAATTACTATAAAGAGTGCCAATTTTGATTAAGATTTAACCTGTTTGCCATTTTTTAGTTTTCCTTCATTAATTGCCATGCTGCACCATTTTCATCTTGCATGTGGCACTTAAAGTGCTCAACCTGTAGTCAAACCAGAGATATTTTGAACTGGCAGCTGTCCTATATGAAAGGAGAATTCTTGTGCAGCATAGGAGGCACCAAAGGAGACTTTAATTTTATGTTTTTGTATATAATATAAACCAGAGGACCGTGAGGGGTCAGAACCAAAGACAAGAAGATCCAAATGGATGGGACTATAGCTAATCTGACCAAAGGGAAAAACTAGGGTAAACGGCAACAATAAACTCAAACACAGAAAACATCTACAACCACACTAATGACCGAGCTTGGGAGCATGCAGAGGGCAAGCACATATGTACATAGAAAACAAGTCATTAAGAAGAGACAGGTGCAAGTAATTGACACATTAGGGGAATACAGGATGGCCAGCGACATCTGCTGGCCAAACAGGAACATGACAGGACTGATAGGGTCACATCGTAACCATATCACCCGTACAGACAAAGAAATGAATGGAGGTGTAGCCCCGAAAGGCAGTCCCTGGAGCCTTGAGTGTCATTAGGAGGAGCAAAGAGTAGGGGCTTCTGCAGATCCGGTCAATGATAATGGTTTGGTTGGATCTGTGTTGGGTGGTGGGGATACTGCTCTGGATGAACCTGAGGCTGAAGGAGCTGGAACCCCAGGTGCCCTGTGGCTTTTGGGTGGACCGATGGGTATTGGCGAGCCAGGCTGGAAGTTGCCCAGGTAGCACAGACGTAGTCTGTGTCTCCTATGACTCTACCAGGGCACAACCAGGTGTCCCAACCATGATTGACAGAGTCTACAGCTTCGAAGTCATCCTCGAAATCTTGAGAGAGGGGAGTCGTGTGGTGGAGGCATCACAGAGCCGGGGAACTAGATACTAGCAAGACAAATGCCATGACCAAGGACTCCAGCAGTGCGGTTTCTTCTGGGACAGGGGCTGATGATGTGGCTGGTGGGGAGACACACAGTAGCTGGGAAATCAGGTGTTAGTAGACCTAGCGGGACTATAGGCACTGGAGGAACAGGACCTGGCGAGGCAGCTGCCGGCAGGACCACAGGCTCTGAGGGCGAGGCAGCTGCCGGTGGCTGTCAACGGGACCACAGGTGAGGCAGCTCGGGACACAGGGCCCACTGGCAAATGATTAAGGGAGATGGCTACTGGGGCTATGGCTGGGGAGCCAGACACTAGCAGTGTAGCAGTTGCAGAGAAGTCAAGACACTGACGGTGGAGCAGCTTCTTCAGAGGCTAAGATAGGACACACCGATACAGGCTCTCCTGGGATGATCCTCAGGGTTGAGGTTAGCCCCGAGGCTTGATGGGGGGGGGGGGGGGGCTTAAGCTGCAGGATCGTTGAGCAAGCTTGGTCATTCTGTCATGTATGAAAGAGGGACAATTCATGCACAGCACCAAAGGGGACTTTATTATATACAAAAACACACAAAATTACAAACCAATGGACCGTGAGGTGTCAAATGTAAAGACAAAGAAGATCCACATGGATGGGACTAGAGCTAATCTGAACAAACAATAAACACAACAATAAACTCAAACACGAACACGGAAAACATCTACAACCACACTAATGACCGAGCTGGGGAGCATGCAGAGGGCAAGCACATATGCACATAGAAAATAAGTCATTACAAGAGACAGGTGCAAGTAATTGACACATTAGGGGAATACAGGATGGCCAGCGACATCTGCTGGCCAAACAGGAACATGACAGGGCTGACAGGGACATTCTGACAGCAGCGTAATAGCAGATTGACTGGAGTAGCTCTACTGCCTAAGGGAGCAGCATGGAGAAACTCCTGCCTATTTCGGGGGAAAAATAACTCGGGGAAAATGAGAGTAATGGCTGTAAAATATTTTACTATTGAGAGTTAAGTCGGTGAATTCCAGTCCTGATACTTCAGTGTGGTGGAGACAACAGTTTACATTTTGACGCAGTTTTACGGTATTTTTAACTTTAGAAACATGAATGAATGTTATCAATCACTGTCAGTCCCAGAGAAAACCAACTCATTTACATATTTATGTTCTGCCTTTCATCTCCTGACACCTGCTAGGGACACTTATCCTACTCTGTCATGTATTAAAAACTCAAACCCCAAAATAATTCACTTGACTCTGCAAGCACATCCACATAATTACTCGAAATGGACTGGTAATTAACATGAACAGGCTGCTATAATATTTTCAGATGTTCACCCGTTTGAAACTCCCGTTCTGCAATGTATATGCAAATCATTCTGGAAAACAGAGTATTTGAAAAGCAACACCTCTCGCCCCCTTTCCGAGAAACAGGGATCTTCTGTGGTCAGAAGTTTTCATGCTGTTTGTAATAAAAATAGTACTTAGATCCCAGGACAGAATCTATCAAAGTAGGACCATGACCTTCACACCTCCAGGGTTATGAGTTCAAGTTCTAATTTGCGATGTTTGTACGTTTTCCCCATGATAGTGCAGGTTTCCTTTGCTTAATCCAGCTCCCTCTCGCAGTCCACAAACATGTAGTCATGCAATTTTGTATCACATAGTTGCCCTTGGTGTGTGTGCCTCTGCCCTGAGACGACAGATGCAGTCTTTGTCTCCTGCCTTGTACCCTATGATTTCTGGGACGGGCCCCAGGTTGAACATTACCCTGTACCGACTAGGTGGTTATGAAAGATCGATGGATAGATCCCATGACAGAGCCTGTAGCTCTGGCTCTACATAAATGGGGCCGTTAAATTCAGGGTAGGTGCACAGTAGGTACTGCAGTGATCGCACTGCAAACATCCACTGCAGGAACATGAATTCTGGCAACTGGGGAAACATTACATTAGCTTTTATTAATCCAAGCAAACTGTTACAATCAACAGTTACATAAGTTACCAGGTATACAGTATTTTGAAATAAGATCTTTTCACATGGAAACAACTAATGTTTAAAAGCGCAGGCAAAGTAGCACAGCACAATACATTCATGAACTGAACAATATGTATAATACAAAGAATAAGGCAGAGCGATGTGTGATTGGACCACAGGCCACTGAGAAGGCGGGCTGTCCGAGGGCCACATGGCGGTAAGCGGGTCGCCATGACGGCAGAATCGCTTCACTCCGCACGCGCAGTTTCCAGCGCTCATGAAACGTGCATGATGCGTCACGCCAGCTAACTACAGTGGCTCACTGAGGACATACCCGGATTAAAAAAAACATATAAAAGTCAGCTCTAAACTGACCCCCCCTAGTGCAGGTGAAGTCAAACTGGTCAATATGCTTACAGCACAGCACCAACAGGCCAGATTGTTTCATTTTCTTAAATCTTTTACTAATTTAAAGATGGACAGTTCTGGTCCTTAATGGCCGCATCAACCACAACACTTGGTAAATCACCAGTACACCTGTTAGATGTGAATTAGGTGTCCAAATCCCCACTGCGAAACTGCTCCTACCTGTTCCTTCAGAGAAAACTGTGATTCTTATAATTTTTTTAAATGATATATACAAAGAAAATCAGCTCCTTCAGAAACCATCAGTATTAGTACTCAGAGGTGTTAATTCGCTTAGTTTGCTCCAGCAATTACTGGCCCTTCACAGGTGGTAGTGCTGGGGGGAAAAAGGATGTTTTTCATTAATTCCATTTTCATCCAGAAGATGGCAGGATTGTATCAGAAAAGAGGATGGCATCCTCACATTGTTACACATAATGCTCGACAGCAAATGAAAGTCCCTCCCTCTTAGGATACTTGGAAAACAAAGACGCAATGTAGTTATTTTACTGTGAATTGTACAATAGGAATATTTCCTAGGACTGGAAAAAAGATGTAGAAAATGAGTACAAAACATTCGCAAAAACACTTTGGGGCGGGGGGGGACTTGTCTGAAACTTCCCTCCAAAACCAGAACCACGAATGAAGACCGTACTCGGTAACTGAAAGAAGATGATGTAACACGGGGGGACGAAGGATGAACTGGACGGGCTCATTCCATCCAGTCCACTTCGTCGAACTCGGAGTCGTCCTCGGAGTCGCTGTACTCCACGGCTATGCGGCGCGACAGGATGGTGGCCACGTCGTTCCCCACACGCTCGTGCTTGGCCTCCTGCTCCCGCTGCTCTTCCACCTTGCGGAGCTGGATCCCTGCAAGGGGCGGAAGAGGGTGTCACACAGGGTGGCTGAAACATAGCTCCCAGACGCAGGATTTGCGGAAAATTACTATCTAGTCCCGTATCCCACAAGCCACAAGCCCTCCTGATAACACACCAACAGACAGTCTACCTTTATCCTGCAGGGTGAATTCTTGTTGATCTTCTACTACTTTTGCTCCTACAAATCTGAGGCTGAAGGAGCTGGAACCCCTATGACTCCCAACCAGGTGTCCCAAAAGTGGGCCTAGAGGTTTTTTTTTCCCTCGTTTTGAGGCAGAGCTCAGCTAGAGGAAACTCAGGAGTACAACTGCACGGTCTACAACTGACAGCTTTTCAGCAGTGCGCCACCATGTGGCGTGGAGGTCCCAGGCATTGCAGGCTCAGATGCCGAGAAGGACGGCTCACCTTTGCGAATGGCTTCCAGGAGAACGCTGCGGGCGTCGCTGATGGGCGGCAGGCTGGATGGGTAGCGCTTCGCCTCGTGCACACCATGGGCCGACGGAGAGGACACAGCCCCCGACAGAAAGGAAGGCACCGGGGGTGGGCCTGGAGGAGGGGGGGTGGGGCAGGGGGAGGAGGTCCTTGCTCCCGGTAGGGGTAGCGGTGGTGGTGGGGGTGGCGGGGGGAGGATGGTCCCTCCGTCCGGCTGGGAGGGGAGCTGGCTTTTGTCCACAACCTGGTGAAGGCGTGCTGGAGAGGCAGGGTGAAGGGGTGGGGCAATGGGGGGAGGAGCAGGGTGCAGGACCCCGGGGGCGATCTGGAGCGGAGCGGGGGCTGGCGGAATGGCAGGAAGCTGGACGGGGAGGGGTGGCACAGGTGGAGGGGGAGTGCCACGTGCACCAGACCCGGGCACCGCAGATGGCAGGGGAGGTGGGGGCGGAGGCAAGGGGGGCGGGGGTGGGGGCGGGGCATTGGGATTGAGGAATACTGGCGTCCTGGCGGGAGACTGGGGGCGGCTGTCGGTGTAGCCAGAGCTGGAGCTGCGGAAAATGGGGAATGCAGGCATGAGACGTAGGACACCTACAGGGAGCGGTCGGAAACACTCAGGAAGCAGAGACGGAGAAAGGCAGGAACAAAGAGAGCGAGCTGCTGCCCCCCCCAGCCCCCCCCCCCCGCCTCCGCCTGCAGGCGACACTGTCAAACAGCAGCTTCTCTCTCTAGTGACTATGGACAGTGTTTCTGTCTGAGTAACATTGGCCTCGGCGATGCGGACTGAAGCCTTCTGGGCTGGACGACAGCGGCCTTTTCAGTGGGCGGAGCTTCAGGGCCAATCAGGGTGGAGCCTGTTAATACTGACACTTTTATGCACTTCCATCCTGAATGGAAAATAAATACAGACGTAGATGTGTGTGTATGGACCTGACCTTAACGAACATGCATAACATGCGATGCTGGTATTAATGTCCGACATCATCCAGCCCTGTAATATACTACAGCCATTTAGTGAATCCATTCGAATTCAGTACGAAATACCACGCCTCGCCTTGTGATGTCATTTGGCGCCGGTTCCAGTTTTTACACCAGTGGAAAACCGACACCTTGAAGTACCGTCCTTTTGGTACTTTCTTGAAGTACGGCACAGGTCTGGCGCAGTGGAAACGCGCCCATAGCGGGCCAGCCGCCTAATGAATGCTGAACCTACCTCGGAGAGGCGTGGCCCAGGTATCTGTACATGTGGGCCACATATTCTCCTGTGTTGTTTTTATTTTCCCGGAGGCGTGCCAGTTCGCATTTCGGCTTACACCATGACCTCAGGATTCGGGGTCATCCTAGCGCTGTGGCACTGGGAAACTGACTGATTACCCGCATTTGAATTCCCCGGACGGCTCGGACTCGGACTCGGACTCGGACTCGGACTCGGCCCGCTGAGGTACCTGATGATGGAGGCTTCTTTTGAGTCTCCAGCGCCGTGCATGGGCGGCGGCGGCGGGGGCTCGTGGGGGCGTATGTATATCCTGTCCCCGGTCCTGTTCAGCAGCTCGTTCATCTGGCTGTACGGGAGGGCGGCCAGGGAGAAAGGCCCATCCATCTGCTCCATGTACAGGGGTTGCCTGAAGGGGGCGCACACACACTACCACTGAGCACCTCACTGCAGCAAACATATCTGCATCTTCCGTTCTGCTATCGGAGTAAAACGTATCATAAATGTATGACAGATGTGCGTCACTTTATCTTTCTCGTCACACTTTGCAGGCACGCTCCCTCATTGTCATGAGCAGGACAAGATGAGTCGTCATTAACTGTTTGGTTTGAAAAAAGCGAAGCCTTGATCTGGCTGGAGAGGGCGGAGTACAAAGCTGTAGCAGGTAGTGGGGGGGAAATTAAGGGATGTTATCACACACACACGCACATAAATGCACAGAGTCTGGAGAATACGGGCACAAACACAGAGACAAGCTCAGTGGGTTTAGACGCTGTGGTTGTGATCAGAAGGTCATCAGTTCAGATCTCATGGCTGGCAGAGTGATTTGACCGTTGGGCCCTTAAACTAGGCCCTTAATTCCCAGTTACTACAGTGACTGTCTAACCCTGTTTTCTCAAAAAAACAATGTATGTTGCTTTGGATAAAGGCCTCTACAGAATGTATATTCTGAGAATCAAACACACTATCACAGTGTTTCCCAAACCGGTCCCAGCTCCCAGCAAACCTGGACTGGACTTCGATTGGGAAACACTGCACTATTATATAAATACAGATACCGTCAGAGCCTGGGGAATGAACACACACACACCTGGTGTCATGGTGTGGCGCGGAGCCGTTGGCCTCCTTGTGCTTGTGGACCTCATTGATGTTGTCCTCAGCCAGCTCCGGCCCGAGCGCCCTCTTCTGCCACTCCTTGCGTCTGTCGGGTGGGGGGCGTGGCACCTTCTCCGGCTCCTGGGGGCGCTCGATGTTCTTCAGCTGGAACAAAAAGGGGTGGCCGATCAGAGGCGGGACGTGACCAGACTGTGGCAACAGGGCAGCCTCTTGATTGGCTATGTGATTCAAATCATGTCAATCTGTTCTTCACGATTGGATGGAGGGATTGAGCAAGGTGGGGGGAGGGGGGGCACACAGGTTAGGGTATGGGGCATAATGAAAATGCTGGAGGTTAAAATTCCCAGAGAGACATCACGGCTGTACCCTTGAGCAAACTGTTAGTGAATATCCTGCAATATAAGTGAATAAAGTGCAAAATCTCTTAATTAACTTTGCATCGACCTGCCGTGAATGTAATGACATTCCCATTAAACAGCTCCATTACACCTGAGGACAGAGGTGACACCCCAATGTGACACTGCCCGGTGGCCCCCCCCCATTTGGAATCGTGCTAAAATGAATGAGATACCTGAACTGTCCATGGGGACAAAGACGTAGGAGGATAACTGGGTAAAATGTCTAAGCGAAGGTATAATGAAGAGCTGAAGTGATACTTTAATCCCACCAAAATGACTAAGTAGTGGACTATTGGCTTAACCCTATAAATAACAAAATGTTTCTCCTGAAGCAGTTTAGTTTGGGCACGCTTCAAGGGTACAACAGACGAATCTCTCTGCCGATCACTATGGTGCCTGCGAGACCAAGTATCTGTAACCGTCCAGTTTTCCTGTCACAGGCCTGGCTGCCGTGGTCTGGATAGGGGCGGTGGGATGGCCTATCCTGAAGCGAACTGACCCATCAGTGTCGCCCCCATCTGCAGGGCTCCTCTACCGACCTCACCCTGAGATATTGTCAAGCAGCAGCCCGTAGCCAAAAAAAAACTGCATTCTGCTATCATATGCCGAGAGCGCATTACATGCTCGCACGTGGGTTAATGGCAAATAAAAGAAGCGGAAAATCACACAAGGTATGGGAGACAGCTGAGGCAATCTGCGAGTGTGGGGATCAGCAGGAGGGATGGGGGCCGGTGCAGAGGGACGTGCTGAGGGGGCCTCGTGGCCCCCGACCGCATCGCAACCGCACAGCCAGGCCAATCCCCCCACGCTAAAGATCCGCTAGCAAAAGTGGCTCAAACTGCAGGCGTATGCTATGACATATAAAGAGAAACAACAACAAAAAAAAAAAAAACACCAGTTACGCAACGGGATAAAATCGCTGTGCGTTTAAGTTACTAAAAACAGCAGCAACAAACAGATCGGTAAAGCGGAACGCCTCAGTCTCCTCGTCCCCATATCTTTGTGCTGGAAATGCTGGCAGCCTTTTTAGAAATGCTGAGCTGTTATTCACGTAACAAAATTAAAAATAGAGCATTCAGTTCTCATTCATCCCAATACACATACCTGGCTTGAGAGGTCTAAATATCTATAGACCTGATCGTACCTGAGGTGGTCCAGCAACTATTAAAACAGAAACAAGAAGACAAGAAGATGCCCTCTTTTTATTCTTTCCTTCCCAGCAGGTCACAGCATGCATGGCAACACCTCCCATCCACCCAACCCCTGGTGGTCATCCACGGAATTGCAAGCAGCCGGGACTTCCTGTCTGGAACGCGAGGCCTCACCACCCCCCCAACCATGTTAATCAGGTCTGATGTGTGTATGTTTGTGTGTGTGTCTGGTTCATGTGTACATTACATGATTTTAAACCTGTCATTTTGACGTTGTGGGGACCACAAAAATCTGTGAATGCAATCGAAAAGCTAAAAATGCCAAAATGCTTTGTTTGATTACTTATGGTTAAGGTTACGGCTGGGTACGGGTTAGGTTTGTCGTTGTTGGGATTAAGGTTTTTCCCATAGAAATGAAGGGATGGTCCCCACAAAGATATGAGCACAAACGGGTGTGTGTGTGTTTGTTTCCGTCTGGGTATTAAAGTGCCCTCCCACCATCCAGAAACACGCTGTTCAGATGAACTGGTCACACTGAACCATCACAGCAACAGTATGCTGTATTGCCCCATGCCACATGGAACACTCCAGATCACCTTAGGGATGGATGGATGGATGGATGGATTGAAGTCACACAAACAAAAAAAAAAAAAAAAAAACAGCTTTTCAATTAGTGCCCATGAACCAAAAAAAAATAAAAATTTTCCAGTGCACTGGAAGCTGCATAGATGCAGCACGGTCAGAATTTAGCCACACCTAATTAATAAAGTCCTCAGCTGGAACCAACGGCAGAACATGGTTCATCTCAAGCTGTAAGTACAAAATCTAAAAATGCACTTTTGCCATCACTGTTAAAATTATTCTTCACAAATAATTACGTTGGTTAATCTGAACGTGCTGAGCTGGCGTTGAGCGTTTGCCCTGAGCATCTGTGTTTACCATGTGGCAGCGGGGAGTTCTGGGAAAAGCACAGCACCTCTCCGTTCCCATTTCCCAGAATGCCACACGCAGAACACGGAGAACCCTCAGGGTCCCAGTGGATGCAGCTATGTTAAGTCAGACTTGCTCTTTCTCTCTCTGCCAAGTTCACGCCAATTCCAGGGACAAAGGTTGTGAGTGGGCATTACTTTGGGATGGGATGGTCAGCACCAACAATGGCAAACATGAACAATAGCGCATGTTAATTACGCAGCACATTCACATTCTGGCAATGCAGCTTATTTAAAATCAAAGAAAACAAACAATAATCAATCAGACTATTCAGAGCAAGGTTCACCGTGCCTGTTTATGAAGGTCACTAATGGCTGATATACCGCTGATGAATTCTAGCAGCAGCCAGGCTGGATTAGTGTTGATTAGGTGCGAATCATTACGCTGATTAAGCGCTGATGAATACACACGCAGACTTTCCTGTTAAATAAAAGAGGTGGGGGCTGCCTTGGGTAGCGCAGTCCTCTGAAACCGGCCAATCAGGGGTGAAGAAAACCGCACTCAGCTGCCCGTTAAAAAACATAACCGCTACAGTGTTCCTATCGCAAAACTGTTTCTACTCAGGCCTGTGATTACTCTCAGAAGTGTAACGCATATTTTAGTGTCTTTTTTTATTTGGTGTAGGATGGATATTGGTAACCTGGGACAATTTTTGAGATTTTACTTTCTAACTTAAAAAAATATTATTCAAAATATTAAAAGGTAAAAGTATTATTGAAAAGTCAAGAACGCATCGTAAAAAAATAGACCGCAGAGGTATAAAGATGTAGAGTATCTCCTAGTTTACTCTTTGTCCCACTTAACCAATACTCATCCTATGTAGTTACTCTGAAGGGGGGTGGAACTGATATTTTTTTTTTGGGGGGGGGGGGGCATCCCAGCCACATCCTGGTCAATTCTGGCTTACAGACACAGTGACATGGTTTACGTTTCATTTCGATCTGGGGTAAATCCAGAAATACTTAATTACCACCCAGGAAGCACATTTTTCAGGAAAGGCTACTCTCCTCTGACATCCACAAAACGGGAGACTTTCATGCAGTAACTGTTAAAATATGCTGACTCCCATAACGACCAGGGAAGGGCTGCATGTTTTGCTGGGGTTACACATAAGACACTAACAAGCAACAAATAAATGAATGAATAATCTGTACATTACAAGGTTAAGTTAAACCACTAAACAAACAATTAAAATATGGGCCATTGTCACGACTTGAGAATATTTTAGAAAACAAAATGTTTTGGTGAAAGTGTTTTTTGAGTAAAACAACTAACATCACCTTAACTTTTAGGTATATTAACAGTATGTGTTTTGTTGCTGTGATTTGTTAATATTTTTCACCATTTCCCCCAAATGGTTACCAAAAGTAACACAAAACTATATAAAATGTATCTTAAACATGTCAACTTATTGCATGAAACCCACAATAAACAATCAATTTGAATAAGATGTATATTTTTTGCTAAATTTTTGTTGGTTTTGTCATTTTTTTCTCATCTCAGTAACTCTTGCACTGGATATAATTAAATTACAGAAATAAATGGTAACATAACAAAACTGATTAACTACCCCAGATGCAAAAGCGTCAATTTAGACAATGACGTTATTAGAGAAAATTAGTATGTTACAGTAATGTTTGTGACAATGAGCCATACACTCCCATTTGTGTTAATTCTACATTAAGTTTGCGGATTCAATGTATAAATATTTATGATTATAAGATCTAGTATTAGCTTATGATTAATTGTGATTAATCACAGAAATGTGCGATTAATTAGTTAATTTTTAATCGATTCACAGCTCCACTTAGGCCTAATATATTTTATATTATGTACGGGCCAGTCATATGTGTCCATAACGATGGAAGAACGACTAAGAATAATGCAGATAATAAAATGTGACTGACATATTTTAATCCATTAATTTTAAGTGCTTCCGTGAGGCGTATGGTGGTAAACAGTGGATGAGTGAGTTTCCGGTTATAGCACTAAAAGCCCAACAGAAAAGAGGGTTGATGTGTATAGATGTAGAAATCTGTCCATTATCGTTTCTCGTGTATAATATTCTGCCTGCTGAGTAATACAGGTTTTTTTTTTTTTGGGGGGGGAGGGGATCAAATGGTGTTTTTAAGCAGATAACAGTGCAGGGTTTTATATAACAAAAAAAATGCATAAGTCATGCATCTATATGCATTTAAAGTAATAAAAATTCAGAAATGGACATTGCTGCACCAGTGTTTACAGTTCATTGTGTGTGCAGAAATCAGAAATCTCAAAGCCACTGATCAGCCTGGCATTTGCAAACCACTGTTAGTGGTGATGAGCAAGCGACAAACAGCGTTACGGTCATCCGCTGCGGCGATGGGACGTCAGGCCAGGTCTTACCTCCAGGGCGAAGCGGCCGGGGGCTATGGCCGCACAGTTAAAGCCGTCTGAAGACACGCGAATAGATATTTCCAGCTGGAGTTAAAGACATCAGAGAGCCGGTAAAACAAGGGGAGGGGGGAGGACGGACGTAAGGAGAGGCATTTGGAGCGTTGCTTCCCGTGTAAGAGTCCAAGCCTCCGTGTCCTCACACCCAGCGATGTCGGAAAACAGGGATTTAAATGCATTTGTATGGGCAGCAATAACTGCTGCATGAAGGTAGCTTTCTCCACGCCTACCGGCTCGAGCTCAGAATAAGAAACACTACATTAAGTTCGGGGTCATATCTGCTATTCTGCAGCAAGGTGTCATCACAGTACCCCTGTAACGACATTGCCAAATGAAGAAAATTAAATACATTTATCTTCATGACAGCTGAGGAATCCCTGTTTTTTTTTTTTTTTCTTAGTGACTTTTTCTAAAAGCCAGTTTTAAAAAGCATACCGTGCGTAGGCCTGTTTAGATAAATATGAAATATTTTATTTACTGTATGTGAGGCTCTTCATCACGTAGAAATATAGTGGCCAAGTTCACTCATTACATTCCAATTCCCCTACATAACTAACCAGTTTTCCACTGAATTAAACACAGATAGTACGTCAATTAATTTTCCAGATCATCGCAAGGTGTAAATTTTCAACATGCGTGCTCACACTCAGGGTAACAGATTTTTTTCATCCATATTGACAAAAATAAGCATGGAGGAAATCACCTGTTAGAACTTGTTTTACAGAAAGCTGTAATTAATTAAATCATAAGTGCGCTATTTTTAGGTACAGAAACAGCCGTTTTCCTCTCCGCTGTTAATGTTCCAAGGTAGTTTTTAGAGCTACGAATGAAAATGAAATGGAAAAGAAGAGAATTTTAAATGCAGGGATATTAGTATGGGTTAATTCAGTATTTTAGAAGTAATAATTTTAAAAGGATATTTGCAGTACAAAACAGCCAAACTATTTCTGAGGATGAGACAGAGAGGACTGCTTCAGTACAGGCACCTAACCGGACGATGTTAATGTTCTGTCGTCCATGCGAAGGGCACGATGAGCTGAAGGATGATTAATAACTTTGAGTACGCTGAAATTAATGATTAAAAAATTATAAAAAAAAAAAAAATCATTTTCTCACTGAGAGGTGCCCGACGGTGTGGAAACACCACAGCCGGATCTGACTGTCACCTTCCCGCTGGGGTCGTCCCCTACCTGGGAGACACTGCGGACTGTGGCACGTCTGTTGCCATGGCAACGGGCTGAGTAACCCCACCCCTTACCTGGGGCAATAGGGAGGTGATGTGGGATTCACAGCGTGGGGGGTGGGGTGGACGGTGTTAGGACTACAGCTGCATAGTATTTTAAGCTCAGGTTTTGCTCGCAGTCTCACAGGAAGTGATGTATAACAGGGCAACTGTGCGCTTTCATTCAAATCTTGAGCAACACTACATTGTTATTATGGTGACTCTGCATAATTTCTTAGGGTTCGCATTAAGGGCCTTGGCCGTGGGACACAGCATCATTCTCAGCGCTCAGACCAAGGATCTAATGGTTTACAGCTTTTCAGCAAAAAATTTAAATTTGAAAAAAATATTTTGAAATATTTGAAAAAATAATTAAGTTTCTTGACATATTTAGTCCCTATTTGTGTGATTAAATTAACTTAAGCAAAGCTAAAATGAACAGAATCTAAATAGGAATATTTTGTTTTAAACAAGATAAAAGATATTTTAGAGAAAATAATAGGTTTATAGTTAAATATAGCTTTATAGCATGTGAAGAAAAATGCTGAATCTGTCCCAGACAGGAAAGCCCCCCTACACTAATTAGTACATATAAATAAAAGTTGTAGATATACAATATACAATCAAAAACAGTCGTACGTTGGCGGAATCTGATGCCAGCAATGAGTGAAACTTAAGCGCTGGCTGATGTTTTTTTTGTGATTTACTTAATGTACCGCATCAGTCTCTTAATTACTTACAACCTTAACAAGGGAGAAATGAGTGGAAAAAAAACAACATAACAGAATGATGTGCTGGACAGGGAAGCGGGAGCAGATTTTCAGCTTGTGGCCAATCTAAAATCCGCAGAGATTTTGAAGACACAAGAAAAGTCGTCCCTCGGGTTTCCTCGCCATTATCTCTGAGCAGCCGCCTCCGCAGTGGATTGCAGCCTCTGTAGGCCGAGGCTAAAGGAACGCGGCTGACAGGCCCCAGCAAACCAGTCAGCCACAACCGTATACGTGCTACATTTTCAGAGCCACCCATTGGAAAGCATCCTAGGTGCCAAGGTCAGAATCAGGACCTGACTCTTCTCTGCCACTGGGGGGCGACTTTACCATAAAGATACACATTGGACTGGTTACATACTGGCAAAATATACCCCGAGCTGCTGGGCCTGTTTCCATATTGCATTGCTTGCTTGACAGTCATTTGGAGGTAAATTATTCTGCATACATTTTGCTTCTATTCATTTATGCCACTGAACACGTCATTTAGTCTTTCAGGGTAAACGGATGCTTTAGATCAGTGTTTCCAAATCCAGTCCTTGGTGACCCCCGGCTGGTCGACATTTTTGCTCCCTCCCAGTATTGGGACTGACTTGGGAAACACTGCTTTAAGTCACTGTAGGCTGACCCTCTGAATGTGAAGTTTTTATTTGAATTATTCACACGATAATCACACTACACTTCAGTAAAATGCCCCATTTCCCTACATAAAATGGCGGTGAAGAAACGTGGCTAGTTCTCGAGCCAATTTTCTGTCCCTAACGATTGCAACAGTAATTCACAGCCCCTGTGTCATACAGCCAAATTACGTGAGATAAGAGAGGATGCTGCATTACTCACCGTGGTAACCAGACGTCTGGATACTGACAGCACAGTGCATTAGATGGCAAAATAATTAAAAAATGCCTCCCAGTCTCACAACATTAAGTCAGAAAATTTCATGTGGGCGGGATGATATAGCATTCCAACATCCATGGTCATCCTATGGCCCCGCCCACTCTAACGACAACCCCGCCCATTCTGAAGACAACCCCGCCCCCGATTACATCAATCCCGCCCATTCTGAAAACAACCCCGCCCCTGCTTACCATCAACCCGCCCATTCTGAAATGAGTCCCACCCCCACTCATCCCTACCCATTCTGATCACAGCGACACCCCTGCTGAGTATCAATCCTGTCAAATTCTGGTAGTGTACAGCCAAGATAACTAACCACTGATGTTTTCAATAGCTGTCTCACCTTAGTGTCACGGTACATTATGTACCAGGGAAACCCAATACAATTTTTCAGACAGTAATTTCCCAGGTGACTTATATAGGGCTTTTGGGCCCGACCAGAAGTGCGGAACAAAGAAAATGTGTGGGGACACCAGTCTGTGTCACGCTCCGTGCCCATGGTAGTCAGTCAGGCCAATTCTATTCTTTTTGTCCTGGGGGAGTGAAATCTAACCTCCTGCCATTTTCCCTACCCTGTAACAGCAACTCTCAGGAGAGCCATCTCTCTAGCATGGGATGGCCCACCAGACCAGAATCTCAGTCCTGCTGGAGCGCGGTGCCGGGAGCAGGGACCGGTCCACCGCTTACTGCTCTCCGATTGGCTGGTGGGGGCCCCGGGCCCGTGAAGCGAACCCTCGCTAATAGCTAATTGTAACCAGTCGCAGTTGAAAGTCTTCAATTTGCGTCAGTTCTAAATGAGCTTAGCCGTTAATTACCAATAATAAGCCTGTAGCTCACGGTCGGCTCTGCGTCAGAACCGTGCGAAAGAGCAGAAAGGCGGCGCGGGCGGGCGGGCGAGCGAGGGTTTCTCTGCAATTTTCATCCGACAGACGGCACTAATTTTCTGAGTCTTTAACAGCCCCCCAGCAGGCAAAGTAAGCTGCAGACATACAGCCCTGAAAACAAAGAGTATCCCCCCCCCCCCCTCCCCAAGTCCATGCCGCAGACGCCAGCCGCTCCGATGCTCTGCGTTGGTCTGCGGGCAGTAAATGAGATGACAGTCTCCAGCCCGCTGTGGTCTTATTCAATTTACAAGCCAATGTGACCATGTGACCATGTGGGAGACTGTCTGAGGGCTGAGCTGGGACAGGAGAGACAGGAGACATGGCTGACGTCCATGGAGAAGTCACAAACGCGGTGACTGGTTTGCTGGGGTTAGAAACTGTGATTGGTGACAGTTAATAAGATGAATGACCCTCCACCTACTCCCTACTCCCACCTCGGGTCTGTTGCAGAATCAGCCCTTTGTCCCCCCCCCCATCCCACTGCCCCACCCAGAAGACCCATCTGGGGCCCCATTCTCCGCACTCACCCTCTGCTTCCGCTTTTCTTTCCTCTTGTCCTCCGTGTCCTGCAGCATCTTCTCCCTCCACAGGTCAAAGAAGTAGGACGGGTTTGTGTAGAACTTGAGTCCCTCCTTGCCGTCATCCCTGGATGGGCGGGGGGGGGGGGGGGGTTGGGTCAGCCATCAGACACCTCTCTCACAAGGCTCCGAGACACAGACCCCTAAATATATTCCGGTCTAAGGTTTATTCCAACTCTGCATTCAGCTGCCCCAGTATGTACTGGGAGCAGAGAAGGGTCATGTTTCACAGGAACCTGCTCTGATAGGCCGAGCAGCCACATGGTAAGCAGGTATGGATGCTCCCATAATGAAACGGACCTGAAACTTGTCCCTGGGATGACCTCCCTCTAGCCGCCAGTGAACAATACCTCTCGCCTATGCCATTCACATCAGATCCTTCATGTTTTGGTTGTATAATATTTTTCCCACCATCCGATGACTAATGTCTATGAGTCATATTTGATGCACTTCAGAAAAACTGATATATATACATTTGTTTACTTATGTATGTTTGGGGAAACGTACCAGCACATTTCAGAAACATCTCGTCTCTTAGTAACGGCTAAATCCCTGACATACCTTTCTCTCTATAACCTCACCAACCCCCCTCTCAATGAGGGAATCAATTAAACTCTGCTGTAGAGGCATCTCCCGGGGCGAATGGGTGCAGGTTGAGCAGCTGATTGCCTCCCTGTTTGTCAAAGTCGCTCATTAACACGAGTTTTTCATTTGAATGAAAGTGTAATGAAATGTAAAAAAAATGAGATTCCTTGCTTTAATTACTAATTAAATGTCTGACTGTGGATTGTTTAAAGTTTATAAATTAATTATTATATATGACTTACAAATGTATTTTTAGAAATGACCAAATCGTGGCAAACAAAACAAAACAATGATCCTGATTGGTCGAGTCGACCGATAACGGACAGATACTTTGGGTATTTAAATGAAGGTCCTTCAATGGTGCAACAAGAGCAGGTCATATTTGTTTTATTTTGTTGTCCAGCAAACAAATTTATCCCTCTTGGTCCGTGTTGACGTTAATTGGGCAAATTAATTGGGAAACACGGACACTGTCAATTCCCTGCTCCGTGTCATGGGAAGGAGCTGCACACCTGTCATTGGTGATTTCCAAAAATGGGCAGTTATCTGGGCCAATGATGGTGAGTCCCACCCACCATGCCCACACTGCTTGCTCCGCCCATAAACTTATAATGCAGCAGTTTGGTACATCTGTCCTGGTATGGATCTTCATGTAGTGGAAGTTTCTATCAATCCATCCATTCATCTTCTAGGCTATTTTTGCCCCTTGCGATAGGCTTTCGGGAATGTATCTCCATTGTAACCCGGGGAACATCTGTGTGTGTGTGTGTGTGTGTATAAAATTCACTTCTGAATGAGGGGAGTGAAGCGCCGTGTCTGACCTATACGGCGTGAGGATGTTGAGAGGTGGTGGCTTTTCACACAGCTCCAAGGTCTCCTTCAGGGGCATGGGCAGGGTCCGCCTGTCAAACAGCTGCTGGTCCTGGATGGTGGAGCTGCGGAAAGCCTTCCTCATGGTGATGTCCTGCAGGGACACTGGAGGGCGGGGGAGGGGGAGAGGAAGCGCACATCAGGCCTGGCCGCCCGCAATGGCCGCGTGCCGTGACATGATCGGCGCCAGGCTCCTCGTTATTCCTGCGAAGCTAGTGCTGCCGGGACGGAAATAACATCTGCGGCACGTCTTTGCCTGACTGCCTGCGCTGGATGCAATATGCGCAGCCAGTAGCTGAAAACAAACTGATTAACAACACAGGAGGTTCGTAAAGTGGGAGGAGTCTAGAGGGAGGGGCCTAAATGGGGGCGGGGCCATGGTGGTCCAGTTGCACAATGTCTTCAACATGTTTTAATTCTTAGTAAACTTAAAAAAAAAAAACACTAATTGATTTTAGCTCTTTAAAAGGGAGAAAGTCAGTCTTCATCACGGTTGGGAAACATTTCTGATTCATAGTCATTGTCTTTCCAACATGTGGTTTGAATTGCAACAAATTTACAATAATAATTATTTTTAAATACACTCGACAGCCATCAGAGACAGGCCTCATCGCTGCCCAGTGCGTCCATCGAGAGTAATTGCTTTTCGACCGGCATGACAGTTGAAAACGTGTGGGAAAAAAAATCAATGCTTTTCCTAGAATGGCTGCTTTAGAAAACGGCCATGAAGGTGAAGAAGGGAAAGAGGAGAGAGAGAGGGAAGTCAGTCAGAGGGGAAAAAACATCCTTAGAGAAGGCCTTGAAAGAATAATAATAAAAAAAAAAACAGTTGTTCTCTGCCCTCAATAATTTATAAGAAGCCGACTGCAATCGCTTCATAGGGACAAGAAGCAGAGCTGGCACCTGTGAGCGGGCGATCCTTCAGTCGGCACGACTCCTCATCGATCCGCACGTCGCTTATTCTAACTACTTCATAGAGCAAGCCTGTAGGACCGAGGCGACCAGTAAGTGACTTTAGGGGAATTTTAAGGATTACAGGGCTTACCATCACTTCCACTCCAGATACCCGCAAATTGGCAGCATTAACCAGCTTGACATGTACATTAATATACCTAATGAAAAGTTCACTTTCTTTTAATTTGCTCTGGAAATCCGTAGAATGGTGTAAAGAGTACACTGCACTACTTTAACATTAAATGTGAGGTGTCCCAGGCATGAGAAATCCTGGCCCCCCTGACAAAATGTCACCTTGAATGTCACCCCTGCCCCCCTTGGCTTGGCACTTTTAATCTGAACTTAAATTGAATATAACCTGCCTAGCTGGGGGAAGAGGGTTCTTACAGTATAAAGCAGGCC